TCTTTCTTTCTTTATATCTATCTTTTTTCTTTCTTTATATCTATCTATCTATTGTGTCTGTCTTTTTCTTTCTTTCTTTCTTTCTTTATATCTTTTTTCTTTCTTTATATCTATCTATCTATCTATTTCTTTATTTCTATCTATCTATCTATCTATCTATCTATCTATCTATCTTTTTCTCTCTTTATATCTATCTTTTTTCTTTCTTTATATCTATGTATCTATCTATCTATCTATCTATCTATCTATCTATCTATCTATCTTTTTCTTTATTTCTATCTATCTATCTATCTATCTAGATAGAGAGGACGCTGGAGAGGACGCTGGCGTTGTTTGTTCGCCGCTTCTCCGTCCGAAAATCCTTGTGGCAACAATTGTTGCTATTTAACCAGGCTATACAGTATGTTTATTGACCAGCACTACTACGTCCAGTAAATATAACGAGTGCAAACTTTATGGATGTGTTTGTGCGGATTTCGCCGATTCCAGCTGTTGTCAACTTACCAGTCTGCCTTCGCCCGGAGCTTTCCCTGTGTCTGTGCATCGCCTCCTACCATCGAGAGGTTCCTGACCAGGCTGTTGCTGAGGTCTGCGGGATTCTGTTGAGTCTGGCGGCTCTCCTCTGCTCAGCACGGGCGCTGTGGCCGGTCACCAGGCCGTTTTCCGCGAGTGGCACAATGTTTAAGTATTCCGTCACCCAACTGAGGAGTTTCAACAACTGCAACGTTCCATCATGCATACCAGTTATTAAACAACTTGGATTGCTTCGCCGGCCGCGCTACACTCACAGGAGCTGCGGCAGAAAGTTTGTTTTCTCCCGGTCTGATCACGGCATTCCATCCCTCTGGTCTGGCGCACGCCCTGTCGCACTTCCAACACGTCATCCGGGCGCTACCCTTCCCAGAATAAGTAACGCTGGAGTTTCAACGGCAGCGCTGAGCACGGATCGGGAGGGAAAACGTGGAGTGGATTTCAGTCTACTCCGGCCAATACAGAGACACACTGCTCCATCTACCATCACGATTGAACTGTTCAATGCACAATCCATCACAAATAAATCCTGCCTTATACAGGAACATATTCTGGATAAATGTCTGGATTTGGTGTGCCTTACAGAAACCTGGCACAAGCCAGATGTTTTCTCTGTTTTAAATGAGACCTGTCCTCCTGGTTACTGTTACCTACAGAAAGCCCGTAACACAGGGCGCGGGCGGCGGTCTGGCTGTCATCCACCGAAGTGATCTGGACCTGTCCCCCATTACCATGCCTGAGCCATCTTCGTTTGAATACCTCGCTTTTAAGTGCAAGCCTCCTCTCTCCACAACAATATTTCTTATTTATCGGCCACCCAGACCGAACCCGTCTTTCATCCCAGAAATGTCTAACCTTCTGACAACACTCTGTACTATGTCTGCCAATATCATAGTTCTTGGAGATATGAATATCCATGTCAACTCCCCCACCTGTCGTTTTGCAGCAGAATTTCTTCAATTACTGGACTGTTTTAATCTAACTCAACTTGTCGATGTCCCCACTCACACTAGGGGACACACACTCGATCTGGTTATTACAAACTCTGACCATCTCAGCAATCTCCGGGTTTATGATCTGGGCATCTCTGACCACAAGGTCATTTCTATGATGATGTCTTCACCGTCTGCCCTCATCAAGCCTAAGCGCCAAATCTGCTTTAGAAATCTAAAAAACATCAACTCAGATTCATTGGCATCCGACCTTCAGCATCTTCTTTCTGTTAACTGCTCACCAGTCATGGACCCTGTGGACTACTACAACAACACCCTCAAGAGCCTCCTAGATATCCACGCACCAGTAAAAACTAGAACAGTGACCTTCTCCCGAACAGCCCCCTGGTACACCAGTGAGCTACGGAAAATGAAGGCATCTGGGCGGGCCATTGAGCGGAGATATAAAGCCACTGGTCTTACTGTCCACCAACAAGCTTTTCGGAAACACCAAAAGAAATACTCTAAGTCGCTAATAAAGGCACGGTCATCATTCTACTCTAATATCATCAAAAACAGTCCCGGAAACTCAAAGCAGCTGTTCTCCACCATTAATCATCTTCTAAAACCACAGACCCACTCACTCACGGAAAACACAGAAGAACACTGCAATAACTTACTGGACTTTTTCAAAACTAAAATAGATTCAATCCGCTCTTCCATTCATGGATCCTCAATCCAATCTGCCCCATCTGTAAACTCTCAGCTTGCAATCGCCCAGCCCCTGAAATGCTTTCCAGAAATCTCGAATAAGGAGGTAGAGATGATCATCAAAAGGATGAGAGCCACCACCTGTGCCCTGGACCCTTTTCCTACTGCTCTTGTCAAAGCAAACTCCGTTATTCTAAGCCCTCTCATCACCACTGTAATTAACCAGTCTATCCTGTCCGGCATTGTTCCATCTGCTCTTAAAACCGCCATAATCAGACCTCTTCTGAAAAAACCCACTCTTGCTCCTGATATATTATCAAACTATAGGCCAATTTCAAATCTTCCATTCATCTCAAAAGTCTTGGAAAGAGTTGTTGCCACTCATCTCCAGGACCACCTCAAAAACAACCACCTATTCGAAAAGTTCCAATCTGGTTTCCGCACAGCTCATAGTACAGAAACAGCGCTCGTCAGAGTCACAAATGACCTACGTATGGCAGCTGATGCTGGCTCACCTTCCCTTCTCATACTGCTCGACCTGTCCTCTGCTTTCGACACTGTGGACCATGGCATTCTACTCGACCGGCTGCATCAAACCACTGGACTTACTGAAATTGCCCTGGACTGGTTCAATTCATATCTGACGGACAGAAAAGAGTACATTTCGCTTGGAAAATCAAGGTCCCGGGAACACACAGTTACCTGCGGAGTACCTCAGGGGTCGGTTCTTGGCCCCATTCTCTTTATCATTTATATCCTGCCACTCGGACATGTCATCAGCCGCCATGGAGTGTCTTTTCACTGCTACGCCGACGACACGCAACTGTACATGAAATCTGATCCACAACCAACTGCAGCACCGCAAACATCATCTCCGCCTCCAACACTCACTGCCTGTCTCGAGGAGATAAAGGTGTGGATGAAACAGAATTTTCTCCAACTAAGCAGTTCCAAAACTGAAGCAATTCTCATTGGCACCTTGCACCAAATTCAGTCATCCTCACTTTCCGGTATAACTATCTCTGGCCAAGACATCCCCCTTTCCACAACAGTTACCAATCTCGGTGTGAGATTTGATCCACAACTCACCTTTGAAGTCCATATCAAAAATCTCTGTAAGATCTCCTTTCATCATCTCAGAATCATCGCAAAACTCCGTTCTACGCTTACCTTAGCTGATGCTGAGAAACTGGTCCACGCCTTCGTCTCCTCTAGACTGGATTACTGTAACGCTCTTCTCATCGGGATCCCCAACAAGAGTCTGCAAAAGCTGCAGTATGTCCAGAACAGCGCTAGGATCCTGATGAGAGTGCGAAAGTATGAACACATCACTCCCATCCTCCACACACTTCACTGGCTTCCCGTGTCTGCTAGGATCGAATATAAGGTTTCACTTCTCACTCACCAATGCATCTATGGAAACGCACCCCCCTACCTGAAAGAACTACTTACCCCTGTTTCTACAGCACGATCCCTCCGATCACAAAACTCAAACCGTCTTTTAATACCAAAAACTAAACTCTGCACAATGGGCGATCGTGCTTTTTGCTCTGCCGCTCCCCGGATTTGGAATGCCCTCCCGGACCATCTGAGGTCACCACAGACCATCAAGACTTTTAAAAAGGGACTAAAGACATTACTTTTTAGCAGATCTTATGGATTTTAAAAATGTCTAGATATTGTTCTTAGAATCAGACCTGTAGCACTTTGAGGTTTTTTCTTAAAATGTAAAGTGCTTTTACAAATAAAATTTATTATTATTATTATTATCTATTTATCTATCTATCTATCTATCTATCTATCTATCTATCTATCTATCTATCTATCTCTAAAGGCCAAATTTTTAATAAGTAGAAAAAAATAATGGTCAGTTCTTATACGGGACGTCCCATACAGTATACACACCTCATATCAAACCATTTTACTGCAGCATTTTGGAGAAATGTCACATTATTTGACTTCTGAAGCCCATAAAGACCTCATTTCTAATAATGTAAAAAAACTAATGGTCAGTTCTTATACGGGACGTCCCATACAGTATACACACCTCATATCAAACCCGTTTACTGTAGCATTTTGGAGAAATGTCACATTATTTGACTTCTGAAGCCCATAAAGACCTCATTTCTAATAAGTAGAAAAAACGAATGGTCAGTTCTTATACGGGACGTCCCATACAGTATACTCACTTCATATCAAACCATTGTACTGCAGCATATTGGAGAAATGTCACATTATTCGACTTCAGAGGCCCATAAAGACCTCATTTCTAATAAGTAGAAAAAAACAATGCATTTTGAAATATGTCACTTTAATTTACTTCAGAGCTGTATAAAGATGTATAAAGACCTTCTCAGCTTCTCACACACTAAATTGTACAGTACTGAAAATAAAGTATTAAGACTACGTGATTTATCTTACATTGATAGTTGAAAGTTTCATACTTTCTTTATAATTTCCATTTTTTACTGAAATACTGTAGGATACAAAAAACAGAAATGCAATTTGTTTATTCAAGCCCTTTGTTTTATGAAGAAAATCAACTTTTAGAAACGTGTCACAAAAAACCACACACATGCACAAACATAAATAAAAAAGCAATGTCTGCTTTAAACCCTGTTAATAAAAAATAAATAAAATAAAAACTTAACTTTACATGGCTACTTTAAATAGACAATTTTAAATGGTAGTGAAACAATAAAAATGTTTATAATCAAGAAATTAAAAAGTAAACTGAAACCACAATATATTTCACACATTTGTTGCATGGGTCCTATCAAGAAAAATGAAACATACTTTCCATACAGTAATTTAACTTCCTAAATTGGATTTAGGAATACACGTTTTTTTTTAGATTTAGCCAGTACAATTGTGGCATTTCCAGTCATCATCCCCAGTAATGGCATTTTGGGGTATCTTCACACAGTTAGGATGATACCAGCCCTTGCACGAAGAACATTCAACCATTACTTCCCTGCAGTGTGCAGTCCTGCATATGCAGTACACATTCACATGTGTTTGTCCTCAATTTGCAACGCTAACTCTTGGCTCTGTTTTAAAATGTATTTGACCTTTCCTGAAGGAAGTTAGAAGTTCTGTCCTCAACCGGCCCTCGCGGAACTAGCAGTTTTCTGGCCTAAGGTTGCAGCACAATGCAAATGCAAATGCAAACAAACCACAGTTGCTAGAATTTGACTGATGTTGGACAGCAGGAAGAATAATTGTAAATTGGTCTTCCATTGGCCTAAGTAACCATGACAAAATTTGTTTGTCTTTGTTGTTCAGCATTGTCGAAAGACTGTCATAAATGCAAACCTGATTGTCCCTGCAAAACAGGTTGCTAGCAGTTACCCAGTGGTTGCCCCCAGTGTGTAAAATTTGTACAAATGGGCTGCTTGGAGTACCCACAATCCCTCCATCATGTAAAACACTAAATAAAACACTTGACTGAAAGCCATGAATGTGAGGGTACTCGCTTGCAAGCAAGTATGATGCGAAATCTATTTCATCACAGCCAAGCCAGTGGTGCGGATGGAGAACAGCAGTCATTTTGCTACGTTTTGTGACCTGTGGAGGCCTTTGTAGTCTAACTGCTGATTTTTTTTGGGAGGGGTCTGCTCCTTGCCAGCATGGTCCATAGTTCTTATTTACAGACCTTGTTGTACTCCCAGGTTTGTTAGGGATGTCAGTGTTCCTTAAAGGTTTCTGTGGAACAGATATATTTTTTTTAAAAGTGTGATAGATAGATAGATAGATAGATAGATAGATAGATAGATAGATAGATAGATAGATAGATAGATAGATAGATTAGATAGACATGAACTGTTCACTTCAACTATTGACCTTAAAAGGTTTTAATTCTTATTGAAGTCGTACCTTATCTGACATGGGTCCAGTCGAGCTGGTGTCCGTCACTGTCTTTGGTCCCTTTAAAGCCCTTTTGCCTCCTTTGACTGCAGCCTAACCATTCACATCACATACAGGAAGATATAGCTCACACATCACATACACTAAAATTGGATTTGTGGCGTCAAAAATGATTTATTTATTAGTTCATTTACATTGAAATTCTGGATTCAGAATATTAGAATACATACTTTATAACATTTAATACATATTAAATGTTATAAAGTATACTATAAACAGTAGCCATGTTTTTATGCAAAATCGTAAGGAACAATGAAGTGTGATAAGTTTGATTGTATATGATACTGCAATACCACTTTGGTTTTCTGGAATGGGAAACCTTTCTTTATTGGCGACACATAGATGCCTTTCTTGGAAGGCTTCCTTTCTCTCCAGCGTTCAACATTTATCCTGTACGTCTTTAATAAAGCAGATTAATTGGAATAATTACTTAAGAAATAAGTACAGGTAAGTACTTATACTGAAGGTAAACATTTAAATAAACTTACTTTTCTCTTGCGTGTAGAGTCAGAGAATTCCATTAAGAGAGACTGTGATATGAGACTGTATGAGACTGTTGATAAATCTGCACAAAGTCATCAAGCCTTGTGAGACGACGTCTCTGGAATCTAATTTTTTTCAGAGCCCATTGGCTTTTCTCCATTATACCCTGTGTCTTGTTGTCCTCATTGTAGTTCTACATTATTGGTTAAAATAATTACTGAGAGTTAAAGAGTACACATATTAGGCATGTAATTTTGTGTAAGACATTATCATACATGTACCTGTGTGCCTGACTGACTACAACGCATAAAAATCTTGGACAAATGTTTGTAGGCTGGTCCTTTTCCATGACGGCCAAGATCACCTATATTAAAGTAACTAATTTAGACCTTTAAATGCAATGTCAAATGTTTACCATTGTTCAAATCCCACAACCTCTCCCCAAGCTATCCTAAAAAATTAAGATGTCACTTACCCAGCATGAGACCAGACCACAAAACTGCTTGAGGTAGGAAATATTTGACAAGGTTAGGCATGAATGTAGGTGAATGATACTCATTTGGCTCCCCCTTTTCATCAACAGGTGCGTTTGCCACAATTTCCTCAAAATGACTTTGAAATGTTGTGGGTCCCATGGTGATCTGCAAATGAAGAAATACTTTCAGTCTGTATTTAAGCAAAGACGCATCTAGATTATTAAGTTTGGTTCCATAAAAGGAGGGAAAGAGATACTGTATCAGTACTTGATGCTACATGAAATCACTTTTGACTTTTGACTTTTGACTTGAGCTCGGCGACTTCTCCAACCGGTAACCCTTTTCCCCCCGCTACCACGCCCCTGCCTTTGGGGTGCAAGAGCACCTTTTGAAGAACTTCATTGTCTTCATCTGTTTTTTCCTCCACCATTTTGAGAAGACTTAATGTTTCATTGGTATGCCTTCTGCATTTATTTCTTGTCATGTAGGCAATGTTTTTGAGGACTGCAGCTGTAGGTGACTGGTCTCTGCATCCTTATTCAAATACTTCAGGTTCGATTTTGTCCAGACACTGCAAATATAAGGCCATTGGAAGCACTGATTGAAGTTGTTGCCCAAAAATGTCTCTGCTATCAGCCCTTACATACCTTCTTTTTAATTCCTCCATACTGTGACAAACCTCCTCTCCCTGAAATGTCACCCAGGCCTTGAGGGTACTTTCGTCCCTCACAGTGACCTCTACACAAACTGGGCAATCTGAGAATGTGCAGTATCTATGTAAATATGTAGTTTTGACAGTGTGCCTTTTAAAAGCTATGCTGCAGTATGGATGTACAGATTCTATTCCTTTTGAGATGATATTTGTCCACTGTAGATCTTTAAATTGATGTCCAACCTGTCGTTTTCTCAGGTCGCTCCACTCCTTATTGTCCATAAAAAAAAACCATGGGCCTGTTGGCAGCTTATGCAGAAAAAAGAGGCTATCAGCTGTTTCAGATGCTTGGCTGGAATGATGTCTTTCAGTGAGCTAAATGAAAGAATAAAGTTGTTAAATATATTAATTGTAGTTAAGTGCAAATACTGTTTTCCTGCTAGTCCTATGTATGAAGGATCTTCATATCGATGTAGAACATGGTTAAAGTTGTATTTAAAATTTTAACTTGGGAAGCATCATTAATTCATGTTGATTTAGTTATGTGGGGGGGGATCTTGTTTACAAAAACACTTCATACTTTCAATAAATATATTTTTTGTAATGCTTTTTGTTTTGTGGTTTTACTGTTATTACATGGAATTAATTGTCTCTATGCGAGATACAAAACTTTTATATCGTTTTATGTTTTTTAATGAACAGTTGATGTGTTTGTAGTTATCAGGACAAATTCAGACTTGAATTCTAAATGGCAAAATTTGCCATTACTTGCCACCTACTTTAAAACGGAGGGAAAAAATAGATCGAAAAATGTATTACCTTGGTAAAAAGAAAGAAAGATGTAAAATTTGCCATCACACCCTCAAGCCTTATATTACAAACACCCTTACTGCAGCATTAATTTATTTTCTTTTTCAGGTACTTTAAAGCCAAGGTAATATGAAACAAATTATAGCGTTTTAAATGTGTATTACAAATTTTAAAAATGAAAATATAAAACACTTTAGATTTCAGATGTTCATAACTGTGGAAATGTATCATCACAGTAAATGAAATGGTCCATTGTTACAAAGCTTCTTCTGTGATGTGTTGCTTCTATCAAGTTCTTTGATTTATTATTTGTGTTGGTTTTAGATGGTACTTGGCTGGCCACAGTATACTTCTGGATGGTAAAAAGATTAAGTTTTAAATGATTACACAAATTAAAACATTCTTCTAATACACATATCAGGTGAATGTTACCTGCATATTAAAGTTGATGAGTTGCTTAAAAAAGGCTTTACCTTGGATGAAGAAGACTCAACCTCCCCAAGATCCTTGCCCTCATACTCGATGTCAGTGTCAAGTGGAGCATCAGGACTTCCCAGAGGAGAACACTGAGATGTACAGTGGGTAAAAAAGAGTAAACATTGTTGTTGGAACACAACAGAGTGCAATCTAACAATGTTAAAGTAATTGCAATGTCCTATTGTGTTCTTCGGTCTCAGACATCAAAATGCTACACTTTTGATGTCTGAAAAAAATAAACCTAAAATTATAAAAAAGTATACAAACCAAAAAAGAAAGAATAAGGAACAACATAGGAACAATTATTTGCTGAAAAAGGACTGAATCTACAATTGTAGGTGCATTTAACATAGCAACAACCTTTGGTGACATAGACTCTGCCTCCAACACATCTCTGCTCTCAGACTCTCTGTTGCTTTCCAGAGTTATGAAAGGACTGCCCAGGGTAGAAGGCTTAGATATTCAGCGGAAACACAAAAAGCAACACAAGTTATCAGGGCACAAAACCCGGCATGCACAGAAAACTGCTAAGTAGAATACAAGTAATATAATATAATAAAATATAATATAATATCATGTAATAAACACACTGCATTACAACAACAACAACCTTGGGGGACGGAGACTCTGCCTTTAACACATCTCTCTCCTCTGGACTGACTTCAGGAGGCTCCTTATACAATAGGCAATCATGACAAGTTCAACCAAAAACTAAAAATCTTTATTTATTTATACATTTTATTTACAACAATTTTGTTGATGTTAATACATTAATTACATTATAAATTTAAATTCAAGTGTGCCAAAAAAATGTTCCTTAGTCGTATCCTGTTTGATAATGAATTTGAAACCTGCAAAGAAATGCAAATTGTTCCCCAGGTGCCATCAGAATTATAAGCACTTTCATCCGTGGCACGGCCGTGTATAACGTTCTGTATATCTTGCAAAGTGAGCTTGATTTTACGACTCTGTGAAAAGAAAATTAAACAAAACAAAAAGTTAATTCCTTAATTTATTTAAATAAATAAAAAACTATTTATTGTCAATTCCAAAGTCAAATAGTAATAAAACTACCGAATAGCCTGTGATGAAAATGTTACGTACCTTCCCAAAATGGTTAAAACAGTATCTTCTGAAATATAAATATTATTTGTAAACAACATGGCATCATTAAACCAATATTTAATGAAGAAATGTCAATCAAAGTACAGTTAAAGCATCAATTAATTATATAACAAGGTTACCAACTTACCGCTGTTTCTGTCGTCTCATGATGCTGTTTTAAAGACTGAAAGATGGGAATCTAATGCAATGCACCCACCCTCACACCACCACCTAAATTCAACTACATGTTTTTCACAAAATAATTTTCCAAGCTATTTAACGTTTTAAATTAACGTTTAAAAAATCTGTAACTTTAAAGTAAGTAATATTAATAAATGTTATCATTACTGTTATTATTATAACTATTATTTTGTAAAAGCAACCGTTCCGTTTTCATGCGCTGATCACGCAGTGATTCGGCCAATCAGGACACAGTGAGCATTTAGAGGATTGACTGAATGGCCACGCCTAGCAGGTGCGCAGATGAGTCGATCATGCATCGGAAGAGCCAAAGAGAATGAAACATGGTCAGATGATGCTGCATGTCATATAACTTTTATAAACTTGTATTCTATTTGAGTGCAACGCAAAATAACCATATAAGTGTTTTTTCCTTATTACTTTACAATACTTTGTGTTTTAAACTATATATATATATAAAAAAATTCTATAAAAAAAAAGCCATAAATGAAAACAAAGTGAAAATAATACAGTAAAAACATTGCTTGCAAGTAAACAGATATATAGATATTAAAAAATATCCTCCTTAGAACCAGTAAAAAAATGTTTTTGAATGTATTAATTTGTCATGTCATTACATTGTTTAGAGATTGTCCTCTGCAGTGACACCAGGACTCAGTCAAATCAAATCAAATCAAATTAAAATAATAATAAAATAAAAAAAATCCCCAAAACATTTTTAGGTTTCAGGAATTTTTTTAACAAAACTTTGTATAGAATGAATGAAAGACATATCTGAATGAATTGATATATCATTTCACTTTATGCACTATGTGGTTAAAATGGCTATAGTATCAGTCAATGATGATGATTATTCGTTCTGTCATATCCGATTTTTGTAGATACTATATGGGTCGTCTCTCGTCATGCTTTCAATTCTTCTGGTTTCTTTTTTCTTTCTTTATCTTTATGTCTTACACACACACACACACAAATGGTTTGATATGAAGTGAGTATACTGTATGGGACGTCCCCTATAAGAACTGACCATTAGTTTTTTCTACTTATTAGAAATTAGGTCTTTATGGGCCTCTGAAGTCGAATAATGTGACATTTCTCCAAAATGCTACAGTAAAATGGTTTGATATGAAGTAAGTATACTGTATGGGACGTCCCGTATAAGAACTGACCATTAGTTTTTTCTACTTATTAGAAATGAGGTCTTTATGGGCCTCTGAAGTCGAATAATGTGACATTTCTCCAAAATGCTACAGTAAAATGGTTTGATATGAGGTGTGTATACTTTATGGGACGTCCCGTATAAGAACTGACCATTGTTTTTTTCTACTTATTAGAAATGAACAGCATGAGTAAGATGTATGCGCAAGATATCGGGAGACATTGAGTGGGTCAGACCACTTCATTAAGTTTTGTTTTGAAGAAAGCCTTTCTTTAAAGTGAATTTCATTTTGGATAAATTGTATCTTACAGTTTTTCTCGATTGCTTAAACACATTTCTTGAAACTATGCCCCGTATTCTCAAAACAGTAAACACAAACCCATAACGTCTCACCCAATTCCCCAAACATCCTATTTTCAGGTCAAAATGAAGCTCTACACTCAAAACCATTCACTCTTGCTGAAAAACCAAACTTTGCCCTCAGACAGCACACACAAGCCCTCAAAAATACACACACTACAACATAGTCTTACACACTGGTGCTATAAATTCAAAACAACATTTCCAAAACTGGTAAGTCATGTTGCTTGCTTTTTTACTCTCTCCTACTCTTACGTAAGATGTGTGTGAGCATCATATGGCAGTAAAAGAGCACACACAAACCTTATTCAAATCTGGAATTGTATTGGAATGGTAAAGAGTGTTGGTACATGCCAATAATGGATACAATACGATGAACAAGTCTAAGAATGTTCCACATATGGTTGAAACACCATCATTGG